CGGTCTTTGAAGGCCTAGCAGCAGCATTCATGGTGATATTCGGAATCAGCATCATCGACTATCTATAGTCCACTCGGTTTCGTTGAAAAAGCGATTTGTCAGTTGGGGTACTTCCCTCGTAAGTAGGGTAAGTACATCATATCCTAGTGATACACTAAAGTAAATGGTGGATACATTGATAACAACACTGAAAATAAAATATATCTCAGAAGAGAATTATCGTATTCGAATTTGCTGCGAAAGACTTTCTTCAATACTTATTCCTTTTAGAAGCTAATCGATTTGATCTAATTTTCTTTCAAAATCCAGATCAATTAGAATGAAACTCTGTTCTTTACTTAATTGGAATTTCAACGAACAATGGTTAGTTAATTTTTTGACTTCTCGTCGTATATTGAATATTATTTAAATGCTTTTTTTTAATCTATAAAAGACGTATATTTAGTGTTGCTCGGTCTCTCGAATTGACTGGTAAAGTTCGTAGTTTGGATATTTTCTCGAGTTTGGCTACAAGTTATAATTTTATTTTTTGTAAAAGTTAATGTGTGATCATTATATAGTATAGAGATTTGAAACTACTAACATGATACACTTGCTTGAATGTAAAGCCTATTCGAACGAAACGGAACACTCGGTGTTGTTAAGAAAATCTATTTTCATAAATACTTTATCAAGATAGACTAAGTTCTAAGTTTAAGAAAAGACTTTTTCACATAAGATTTAAAGGATGGCCCAGAAGTCCTGACCCGATTTGACTAATAAATTTTTCTGTAGTGAAACAAGTGAATTTATCTCTATGAAAAAAAGATGCGGTAAAAAACGCTCTACAAGATGACTATTGATTGACCCCGTTAGCTCATCTAGTAAGAAAGTTATAGACTTAGAAATGTCCTTCGCAAAAAAGAAAATTCAACCGTGAATCCGGTCTCGGTATTTTTGCTATTAACTCCTGTTCCTTAGGTCCCCTGGAATAAGTTCTATTTTTAATAGAAGCGTCGTGAAATTTTCTACAAAATACATACCTAAACTTTAATTTCAGAACTTCAATCAAGAAAACTAAGCAAATTATACACGAGGCGAAAAAAAGAAAAACTTTGTAAATTTGGTTTGTTTTACTTAACCTTCTTCTTCTATTATTTCCGTAAAATAAGCGAAGCAAAAGCGACAACACAATTTGTGTTGGGTACTTTGTGAGCAACCTTCTGTAAAATGTCCAGGCATGGTATGACACTTACATGAAGATGTCGCTTTTTCCGTTCTTCTTGCATAGATTCAAAGTCCCATCAATCCAATTTCAGAAATTGAAAATCGCAGCTCTCTAACTATCGCTGGTCAATAGTTATTCAAAAAACAACCGACTGCATTCTGTTTTGAAATGGATAGTAGTTAGATATCAGATAAGCACTTCAAAAGCTCAATACCTCGACATCAAAATATATATTCTGTGTGAAACTACTTTTCGAACTCACTCTCACACTGCCCACACGCCCACCACTCACCACGTACTGCCAAAAAGACTCAAACGCGTACGACGAAAAATTCGCAGTATTGTCGTTCGCAGAAATGTCGCGTCACCGGCCTATGAACGAGTAAACATTTTATCAAAAAACTTTCTTCCCAACCTTTAGGTAAGAATTTTACACGCCCACACTGGAGAATCAATACAAAAAACAAAGAAATAGCAACATTTAGATAAACGCGACGGTGGTCATTAACTTGGACTTGTAATTCTTCTTGTGTATCTTCATCTTTAACAAAATACGTAAGATCTTGAGTTTTTACAATAATTTCTGGAGTTGGATGGAAACGAGGATCGAGTTTTGAACGAGATCCTTGAATTCTAAGAAGAACTTGATCGCCGATGTCATAATGAGGATCTTGACGATTTTGATCATATTTTACTTTTGATAGACGTTGCTATTTGAAAATGTTTTCAGTTGCATGTTTATGATAGATTTTGAGAGATTTATTTAATTGAGTAAAATAATCGTTGGATTTGGAAAAAGTCAATTCCGATCGAGACTTTCGTCCAAATTGAAGCTCAAAGGGAGAGAATTTTTGTTGTTGAATGAGTTCTGGTGTTGTAAGGAAATACAACGGCATATAAGTACTCATCCCAATTATTATATTCCTTACTTTGGAGTTTTGGTATTTGTGGGATAAGTGTTGCGTTAAATCTTACGATAACTCCATTAGACTGTGGATGATATGCAGTCGAAAAGATATGATTTATTCCAATTTTATATTCGAAAGATTGCAAAAGTTGATTGCAAAAATGTGTACCATTATCAGAAAGAATAGATATCGGAACTCCATATTAACAGATGTAATGTTTAAAAAGGACTTCTGCGATCACTTGTGCCGTACAGCTCGGGAGAGTTACGACTGTGACTCAGCGTGTGAACATATCCGTAATGGCAAAAACGTAACGATTTTCTGATGGAGTAGGAGGGGTCCAATGTAATCGATCGCAATCATCTGGAATGGACCATCTGGTGAAGTGATTGGATACGAAAGTCCTGGTTTTTTCTAGTTGGGTTGACCTTCTTAGAGACATATGCAGCTACCTTAATCCATCAATTAAACGAATTTAATTAACAACCATAGGTCTCTCGGAGACATGTGCTAATTAATTAAGAAAATTATTCATGTTAAACTTTTTATGAAACTTGGATAAAACAATAACGCTATTTAAAAAATGTTGTTTTCATATTTTTGGCTGTTTCTTTCCTTATATACCTTTCTTTTTGTTTATTTTCGTATTCTTGTGTGTTGATGTTTGGTTATCTCGCATTTTCCCTATTTGTTGTATGATTTTGTTTAGGTTCAAATAAAAAGCTAAAGTAAAAAGTCAAAAAATGTGAACAGATTTTCCAAAGCTTTTTCATCGAAACAAGAAAAAAATCTTCTGAATGATAACTTGTTTTGAAGGATTATCCGTTTACCGGTCAACCCTGATAGAGAATCTATAGTTGCATGCGTCCAACGCCTTAATGGAGACCGCTCAAATTATACTGTGATTTTATCCTCTAAGGAATCTCTTTCCGATGAGTAGGAGGAAAATATATTTATGAGAAAATAACGTTGTATTTACGAAGGGTTTTCGTGAATAGACTTCGCAGAGGCGAAAAATCTGTCATATTTGAGAAAATTATTTCCATTTACGGAGTATATTTACAAAGGGTAGCAGAAGAATATCCGCAGTATATGAAAAAATAAGCCTGCATTTACGAGGTCTATTTACCAAGAGAAGGACAAAAACATATTTATGAGAGCATTTACGAAGGGTCTTCGAAAATCGACTTCGCAGAGGAGGAAAATATCTGTCGTATATGAGAAAATAAATCTGCATTTGCGAAGTCGGTTTAAGAGTACGGGTGACTCATTACCATTACCATTACTAGTAATATGTAACAAAACTGCTACTTGTTTTTGGTGCTGCTACTTGTTGTTGCTATTGGGTTTTGAAGCGGATTTCTTGGAGGATCTTTAGAAAACTAGTTGGATTTTCCGAAATGCACATAGGAATGTATTGCCTTTTTTTCATGGGCTCGTAGCCCGGGGTGTTCTCTTCAAAGTGAAAGTAAAGTGAGATCTTGATTTTCTGTGGTTCAGGCGTTGTATCGGATTTCCGACGAGTCCTAGGGCTAGCATCCACTGACTCCCGGTAGCCTAAAGGACGGATGGACTATGGATAATCGACCATGCTGAATCTCGTGGCAGTATTTGTTTTTAGAAATAGTATAAACAGGATATAGAATAGCTTAAATACTCTACATTCTTAAGTTCTGAACTCGTTCTGATGTGTTTTGATTGAATAGTGACTTTTTTAATATTAGATGAAAAGTAGTAACAAAGTAAGAAACTACTATCTGTTGTTACTACTTACTAGTGACAAGTAACAAATTTCTGTTACTTCACTTAGTAATTAGCACCGAATAATAATTAATAAGCCATCCCTATTTACGAAGGGTGACTAGCGTCAGGTGCGCGAGTTGGGTATCAGTTTACTGTAGCGACTTGTGAGCTAGCGGTTTAAGATTCTGGTACAAAGACCTAAATTACATATGTTCTTCATAACGAGTTGTACGATAGGTTTTTGCCTGTTTTCTTCAAAAACATTCCTTGCCGTCAGTTTGAATGCGGCGTGTAGCTAACATTTCTGCTTTTTTCTGACGTTCTCAAACCTTAAGAAAAGAAGTACGGATGTCACAGAAAACTATATACAGCTGCTAAGCGATGATAGATACTGATCCAGGACTTGCACAGATATGTGAAAGTATTTCAGCATCGAAACAAAGTAAAACTAATCGTAGAATAAAAATATATTATATTATATATTATGTGTTTCAGGCTTAGCCCTTCAACGATGTTCTCATTTTATAACTTTATCGGTGTTGTAGGATCCATCTGGACCCATATAAAGAAAGTTTGGGAAAATCAGTACTTTTGTTTTATTTAAGCAATCCATTTATGTACTAGAAGCCTTTACATATTCTTCTTATGGGCGTTTACACATCAGCTTGTATGGAAACTGTATTAATATAAACAATACGGGAAAAAAACTTGTATGAAAGTGTTTTTATAACAATATTCAGATATAAACCCGAAAGAAGTGTACTCAATGACGTTAGTCTCCTAGAATGTTAGATATACATTGACATGTGCACGGATACAATTTTCTATGAATAAGGGAACTAGAAATTCTCTTCTTTATTCATCATCTTTCTTATTTTTCTTTTTTATAATCAAAAACAGTGAAAAGTTGTTTTTCTAACACAATATTGATGTTGTTTGTGTTTGACTTTCTTTTGTAAACTCAGTCTTTTTGGTTTT